AGCTGTGACTGTCTATTTGAATATAGACACATTGTAAATTTCTTCTTGCCATTTAAAGACAGTTATATTACTCTGAAAAGTCCATAAAAAGGGACTGGCAAGGAAAATTAGAAAATCTTGGAGCAGGTCAGTATGCTTTTCTCCTTATATAATTCCTCTGAAATTTGGCAATGCTAAATAAATCATGGCAATACATTTCTTTGCATAGATTCAATAAGACTGGTTCCTAATAGTGGTTTTATTAACCGAAAACTTTGACTGGAGTATCATGTTTTAAAGAGAACTCAAATTCCATACCTATTAAACAATAATGTCCCCATTGTTCCCTTCCCCCTGGCCCTAGGTCAGCCGTGGGCAAACTACGGCCCGCGGGCCGGATCCGGCCTGGTTGGAATGAATAAAACTAAAAAAAAAAAAACCGTACCCTTTTTTTTAATGATGTTTACTTTGAATTTATATTAGTTCACACAAACACTCCATCCATGCTTTTGTTCCGGCCCTCCGGTCCAGTTTAAGAACCCATTGTGGCCCTCGAGTCAAAAAGTTTGCCCACCCCTGGTCTAGACTCTGAAGACTCGAAGCCAATAAGAGTGCCATGGGAAAAGCCTGGTATCCTGCTTGGGAGCCCTGAAGATGGCTGGCGCTGGAGCGTCAGGCCCATGCCCTACCATCACTGGCGGTTGGTCAGAGTACAAGGGGAGCAATAAGGACGCCTCTGCGTCCCTGCAGAACCCCCACGCACTCTGGGCCGCGATGAGTAGGATGGCTACTGAGATGGGCCTTAAAGCCTAGGGCGTGGGCCCAGGTGGAGTTGCTACAGGTGAGGGATTCACCTAACTTAGCAGATACTGCAGGCAGGCCTGATGGCAGCTGGATGGCTTGGCTTCCTGGCCCTATGGGGCACATTAAGATTCAATCATGAAATTTCAGCAAAGGTAATCAGTTACCATTCTTGTTGTGTTTATGCAAACATCAGGCCAAATTGAATACAATAGATAAATTAGTCTTGATTTGGTTTTTGATAAAAACAAAGGTAATTTTGAGGAGAAAAATTCTATTTCAATAGAGGTTGTTAAAACTGAAATGTTTTCTTTCCCTTCTACCGGACCATTTGTTATAGTTTGTCTCCATCAGGTCATAAGCCCACCTCCTTCTGTGCCCAGGCCTCATCGTCCCTCTGACAGACAGCAAGGATTTCTTGGCTCTGAGAGAAAACTTCGTCCCTCCTCAGCACAGAGCAGCTACAGAAGAAATTCAATGCCCATTTTCCCTGAAAGAATTCAGAGCCAGGATCCTTGAGATAATATATTAGGCAGTTAGACAGACATGAGCAGAGCAAGGACAATGGGCCAACTAGTGTTACCAGGTGTAACTAAGTATTTCCACCTCTACATATGTGAGACAAGGAGCATAGCCAAAGAGGTACTCACCTAAAGTCTCAGCCCTTAACCCTGCTACACTGCTCCCGGACGAAGGGGGTGAGCCTCCACTTCACGATTGTGAAGAGGTCTTGACCACCTTGACCTCTCTTCGAGTGGACCTGAGGGACACCCTCTTGCCCGACCCAGAAGTGACCCTCTACACGGATGGCAGCAGTTACGTAGAAGATGGACTTCGGCAGTGGTGCCCGAGAAGGAGGTAGTCTGGGCGCAGGCCCTGGGCCGCGGAACTTGGGCTCAGAAGGCTGAGCTCATTGCCCTAACCCAGGCTCTCTGGTGGGGGAAGGGCAAGAGACTGAACGTCTATACTGACAGCCGGTATGCTTTCGCTACCGTCCATGTACATGGGGCACTGTACCAAGAGAGAGGCCTTTTGACCTCAGGGGGAAAGGACATTAGAAAGCCCCCGAGATCCTTGCACTGCTGGCGGCCATCTGGGGGCCGAAGGAGGTAGCCGTTATACACTGCCGGGGGCACCAGAAGGATGACACCCCCATAGCCCGAGGCAATAGACTAGCTGATCAAGCAGCAAAGGAAGCCGCCAAAAGACCAGTAGGGCCCCTACAGGTCTTAGTGGCCCTCCCAGACCGCCAGCTGCCCGACACCCCAACCTACACCAAGAAGGAAGAAGAGCAAGCAAAAGGACTAGGGGCCCAGGTAACCAGGGGAGGATGGCTGAAACTCCCGGACCACCATCTGTTCCTCCCAGAAAGCCTGGGCAGAATCATCGTAGAGCAGACCCATAGGGGCACCCATCTAGGAGGCACCAAGCTGGCTGAGCTTCTTTGCAAGGATTACTACTACGTTCCGCTACAGAGGATGGCCAAGGATGTGGCTCGGAGATGCCAGGTGTGTGCCCAAGTGAACCCCAGTCAAGCCCGCTCCGACCCGCCTAGAGTAAGGTTCCGAGGAAGCACCCCAGGGGAGCACTGGGAAGTTGACTTCACAGACCTCCCAGCGGGCCAGGGAGGATACAGATACCTCCTGGTGTTCATAGACACCTTCTCAGGATGGCTGGAGGCCTACCCCACCAGGACTGAGACAGCCCAGGTAGTGGTTAAGAAGCTCCTCTCTGAAATTGTCCCCCGGTTTGGCCTACCACTGTACATGGGGTCCGACAACGGCCCGGCGTACATCACCAGGATCACCCAATTGGCAGCTAAGGCACTAAAGGTAACTTGGAAATTGCATTGTGTATACAGGCCACAAAGTTCAGGACAGGTAGAGAGGTTGAATCGGACATTGAAGGAAACATTAACCAAGCTGAGAATAGAGACTGGCGAGAACTGGGTAAGTTTGCTCCCCTTTGCCCTTCTCCGAGCTAGGTGCCCCCCGTATGTCCAAGGATTGACCCCTTTTGAAATAATGTTTGGGCGACCGCCACCATTGATGCCCAAGCTGGGGGAGGCCCGTCTATCTACCCGTAATTTGCTTAAGTCTTTGCAGGAGCTCCAGCAAGCTGCCACATCAGTACAACGGATTGTGCAAGAGGCTTACCAAAACGCTGACACCCCGGAGAGGCGAGCTGGTTTTCCCCTGGCGACTTAGTCTGGGTGAAAAGACACCAACCCAGAGGGCTCGAGCCACGCTGGGGTGGTCCGTACACTGTGGTCCTCAGCACCCCCTCAGCAGTCAAGGTAGCGAGGCACTGGATCCCTCGCACCCAAGTGAAGGCGGCTGACAGCGGTGACAGCCCCCGGAGGTGGAAAGTGAAACTAACCCAGGACCCACTGAAGGTGAAACTAGTACCTGCATCATGATCTATCTACTGCTGCTCGCTGTCATGTGGAGGTTCGGTAAGCCCCTTTCCCACCAGGCCCCACATTATGCCTTGGAGGTGATCCGCACCACGGACGGGGTAGTACTGGCCTGAGAAATGGGCACCGGTGAACCGACTCTCTGGTTTGACCTGTGTAGCCTCTTCGGGGAGAATTGGAACCTGCCCCAGGACAGACCCAGGCTCATGAATTTGGGCCCAGCCGGGTCGCAGCTAGGGATCCCCGGGGGAATGGCTACACACAGGGCCACAACCACCTATGGTTGCGGGACCCGAGGGACTGAGCAACAACTATGGCATACTCCCCTATATGTCTGCCCGCGCCAGCCCCGGATTCCCTTTCTGAAGTGTGGGGACCATGAGGATTATTATTGTGGACAGTGGGGCTGTGAAACCTATGCCAAATGGCCCCCAAAGCTTCCGGACAGGGACATACGGTTCACCCGGCAGGTGCGGCCAGGGGACCTGGAAAGGAACTGTACTGTTGGAAACTGCAACCCCATTGTCATCAAACCAGTGGCATATTGGGCCAGAGACTGGACCGGGGGAAAGACCTGGGGATTGAGGCTATATGTCTCTGGGCCAGACCCTGGGATACTATTTACTATCCAGCGACGGGAAATACTCCGACCGCCCAACCCAATTGGCCCCCTGGCCCCTCAGCGACCCGAGGTCAGGAGACCAAGCCCGGCCCCATGCGTGACGAGCCCGCCACCACCATCATCAAAGACTGAGGCAAGTCGTCAGGATGCAGTAACCTGGCCTCCACCTCGGGGAGCTCTGCTGAGACCAGACATTTTCGCACTGCTGGAAGCCTCGTTCCAACTTATGAACAAAAGTGCGCCCAACCTTACTGCAGACTGCTAGTTATGCCTCAACCCCGAGCCCCCCTATTACGTAGGGATTGGAGCTTCGGCTCCACTTGGGGCAAGTGCGGCCCACGTCCGCAACGTGTCCACGGATGCAGAAACCCCGGGACTATGTGCATGGGGAAAAGGGAGGAGGAGATTAAGTTTAGGAGATATTACTGGAGCTGGGCTGTGTGTCGCATCTGCCAATTACTCCCTCCCCGATTCCCCCTATGCAGAAAATTGTAACCAGAC